TGGTTGTTTTTTTAAGTTTTCTAGACCAGCCTTTCACCAGATTGTGTGTGAGGTCTCCCTGAAGAGCCAGGTCCAAATAAGTTTTACCATAACTGTCATTTCCCCAAAGACCACCCAGAAAGAAAATGTTTGCATGAATACCCTTTGGCCTGTGCCACTCTATCTGCACTCTAAATATATATTAGAATTTATATTTCCACTGTTTGCAGAGAAATACAAGGAAATTCAAGGTCCTTTGGCATGTCTATATGTAACACATACTTCAAAATAATAGTGGTGTTTTTCAGTAAATGCAGGGTGATGGCACTGCTGACCAAACCAGAATTACAGATTTGAGCTTAAAAGCAGCTTAAAAGTAAAGTGGATGTGGGCTGAGTTTATTGCTCACATGCAAACTGCCAGCTCAGACCGTGCTACAAACCAATGCACACATCCAATGGCCCCAAAATATTGAAAAACCAGTTAAAATCCTTACAGGCTACACAGACATCACTCCAAACAGAAGAAGGGGATCTGTCTGAGGGTATGATATTTGCATTCTGAAATTATGGCAGTGTTCCCACTAAGGACAATGCTCCATTGAATATTTGCATTTATTAACACTTTGCATTCCACAAAGTCCTGTTGTTCCACTGCAAGTGCAAGTTCAATCCTTATGACTGATTGTGAGTTTTCAATGCCATATTAGAGATGTTACTGGAAAAAAACAGTTCTAGAGAAAAGTATCTTTTCCAATGGGCCCATTTTTAATTCCTAGGAGGATTCTGGACACCTCTGATTTGAAGATTAATTTATTTGGAAGCCCATACTAATTGGTGATCAGGCTTAAATCCACACATATTTTCACTGGAAGTCGATGTCATTGTTTGTCCTCTTCCTCCCCTCAATAATTTCCTGATAGCACTACTTTTGTTTCTAGACATGCAGAAATTCAACATGAGTGAGAAGTTTCTGGTTTTGAGCGCTACCCTTAATCTGAAGAACAATTTTAGGAGAAAACTATCACTCTAAAAACTTACTTCTCCTGCTAATTTGACTAAGGAAAAAAATAAGGCCCTGCAAATAGCAAAACTCTCCAAATGGGAAAGTAATTACCTTAAATTAAGCCTTATTTCTGGTTATAAAAAAACCCAACAAAACAACAAACCAACAACCACCCAATTCTAAAAGCATGTTGGGCAGAGTGGAAGCATTAGAGTTAAACACTGGCCAGTTTATAGTGAAAGGGAAGGAAATAGACAGGAGGAAGGAAGGAAGAAGAGATTAGAGAAATTGAGAGATGTAAATAGTCTCAGAGGAGCCACCGTGTCCCAAAGCCTCTCCTAAGGGAAGTTTTTACACCAAAGAATCTGGAGGTCTGAATGAAGAATGACATCATTTATTTATTTTAGCCAGAGCTGAGCTGTTTTCTTAATTGAAATAACCTCATGCTGCTAGCATTAAATTGTTGTGGAGTGATAATGATGTCTGTTTAATTTAGGGGCTTGATAAACATGAAATAAATACCCTGTTATTCCTTGGCTTGGGAGCATATTTAAATTGCCTGGAAAGACAGGAATTAGAAAGCTTGAGCCTTATGTTAATGCTCCAAGCACCTGATGTGGGATCTTCAGTGGGGAGATGCATGAGTAGGGATTTGTAACTCAGTCAAGGATTTGGGACTCAGGACTCAGCCAAGGGCTTGGAGCTGTTCCCCTTGGAGATGAAAATGATGCTATTACCCTTCTGGACACCAAGAACAGTCCAGTGTGTTCTCAAGTTTGTAAGAAAATTCACAATTTCCATCTAAAATGTGAGTTCCCAGTTGTCATGACAGCCCCACTGGTACCAGCTGTAATCTAAGTGGCCAATATGGGGCAAAAAAAAGGATTTACATCACACAGTGCCTCACCTGGGAGGGCTGAAATGGAAGTTCATGGCTCCAGGAGAACTCAGAGCAGACTTCCAACACCTAAATAGGGTCTGCAGGAAACACGGGCAGGTCTCTGCACCAGGGATAAACTGAGGGGCAGTGGGTGTAGAGGGTGGATTTTAGGAAGAAATTCTTTACTGTGAGGATGAGGAGGCACTGGAAGAGGTTGCCCAGAGAAAGTGGCTGCCCCAGCCCTGGAAGTGTTTATTTATCTGTACACTGTGATGTGGTAAAGGTGAGGTGTTTTAAAGGTTCTCCTCGTTATACTTTTACTTCAGAATTAGCAGGGCATGTGCTGATGAGTTTTACCTTTACTCAGGTTTTACTGATTAGTTTTATTATCCTCTTTTTACAGAAAGAACTTGTTCTCACAGAAGAACAGGGAAAGTTTTTAGGATTGAAAGAAATGACCAGTTCAGGATACAGCATCAGAAGAATCAGCATTCCTTCCTTCCTTCCTTTGGCCTTGACACACACACTGTGTTTGTTATAATCTGCCCAGAGTAAAATTCATTTTGGTGAATAATAGAAAAAAAATACAGCAAAGCCCCATATTCCCAATTCACTGAAATGGCAGCATGAGCCTTGTCCATGGAACTCTGCTGCTTGACTCTCCAACATCGTGTTCAAAACCATTTCCACAATTCTGAGAAGGCAAATGTCAATCCCTGGAAAAAACTTGGAGCTGAATTGTCCTTTGATGGCTCTAGGACTGCAAGGGGAGCAGCTGCACTGCTTTGTGTGACCAAGTGACATTGGCTGCATGTGCTGCAAGTTCTGCAATTTGTGCTGGCTTTATTTTAAATGCTGAGTTATTTTAGAAGTGGACTTCCATTACTGGCCTGTCAAGGGGAGGTCCAGTTTATCAAATTTCAGGTTACAGCTGCACAGCATGTTCAATCCAAACTCCAGCTACATATAAATATATGATAATTTAAGGCTTTCAGGGCTGTTTATTATAGAAAAGTTGTTCTGTGAGCCCATACACTGCACTAATTTGAGTGAAACAAGCTAATTATAAGTTGATGTCATATGGCTAAAAAAATACATGTTTATTCCTTCTGTATTTCACAGTGCTGACTTTCTCAACCACACTTGCAGAGCACACATGTGATGTGTTTTCTGGGCCTAGCACCTCACTGGATAAAGTTTTGCTCTTTATTGTGCAATTTCTAATTAAAAAGATGAACCTTGTGCAAAATCTTTGGGGCCTTGTGGATGGCAGCAGGATCCTTCTGCTGGTAGGTTTATTTTTCATTGAATAAGAGCAGAATTGTATTTTTGCCAGAAAAAGAAATGAAGCAAGCACAGTGACTATTTTAAGCCAGTGAGTGTATTGTAGAGAATGTGCCACGGGCTACACAAATTGTTGGAAATAAAAATGGAGGGCAGAAAGCAGATTTGGAGAAATCATGAATTCTGTCTGAAAAAAGTGACTTGATCATTGTTCAGTTGTGACTTGGCTCCAGCCAAGGGAAGGTAAAAGCAGTGACCTGTTACTACCTGTACCTCAGCAGCACCTAAACGATGGCAATTGTGCTTTTTTATTGCAAGTATGACAGTGAAGATATTCACTCTCGTTTGAAGAATTTACAATTCTGAAGAAAAATTATCTGATGCTTTTGTAGAAGGAGCACACAGCGGGTCACTGTCCATTCTTTGAAAAGAACTGAAAGTATATAATTTTGTGTAAAAGAGAAACTCAAATTTCCTACAGAAACTTTCTCAAACCCACAGTTAGAGATGCTATCTCCTCCCAGATTATGCACACCTATAGAAGAGGTTAAAAAAATAGAGGGTGATTGCAAAAAATGAATGAATGAATGAATGAATGAATGAATGAACAATCCCAAATTCTCTCTCTGAAAAGAATCCACACGGATGTGGAGGAGGAGGAGAATCTGGCAGTCTGAAACATCCTATATTTTGATTTTTTCCAGCTGTTAGCAAAACACTGTTCCCTATTTCTCTCCTGATAATATAAATTGCAAAAGTGGTGGTTGGAGGGTTGTCTCAGGGCTAAGATTACATAATCATATCTGCAGACTGCTCATCTCATCCACCTTTAACCTGAAATAAAACCAAGGAGAAGTCACTGCAGACAGAATGGGTGCTGAGAGGAGCTGCAGCAATAAAAGAGCCCCAGGACTCTTCACCCTCTGGGATCCTTGTGAAAGCTCTTATAAATTGCAAAGAATAAATCCTTACATTGGGAGTCAGAAAAATGCAAGATTCTGAGTGGCAGTTTAACAGCAGGAAACTTTGGCACTTTGGGGAGACAAGAACTGGGTGGGACAAGGTTTGCTGGGCTAAGAGAACTCTTCCAGGTGAAATATTTGGGACATTGCTGGTTCACCTCAGCAGGCCTGAGGCTTCTGAGTGCCTGAAAGCCAGGATGGAGTCTGAGATGGAGCAAATTTCGTTCACTGGCTAATCACAACCAATATTTTAAAAACAAAGTTTCATTGAATTTGGAGGTTTGTGGAACAGCTTTGCAGAGAACTGAACTGCTTTTCTCACTTCAGCAGTGCTTGCAGGTGCTCATACTGAATTCTGAAAATTAAGCCCCAAGTGTCAAATTCCTGAAGTCAAAGATAAGTCTGGAAAATGTTGTTGCAGTTGTGACAATGATTTATTTTGGGTTTTTATACCATGTATCAAGTCATAGTAAGGAAAAGACAACTTTTATACTGGTTGTCTTGAAAAAGCTGCTCATCTTTACATCTGCATTGGAAGACCTGCATGCTATGTCAGCCCAAGCTCAGTTTTCTCTGACTTTATTGGAAAATGTTTCTTAAAGACTAAATGAAAATGAGCATTGGTCTACAACACCAAACTGTAAAAATTTTTAACTGTTGTTTGACAACACTTGCAATAGGATTCCACATTTCTTTTTCTTACTTCTTTTCTCAATAAAAGAAATCTGAAGCAATCAGATTTCAGTCAAGAACTCTTGATGGACAGTTCACAGATTTATTGTTTTCTTTGGTGGCTTTATCTGGTTGTGAACATACGAATCAGGAAATGTGCAGGGGAAGCAGAAATGAGAATACAGAAATAATTCTGAGCTGCTCATCTGCCCAGGAAGAGTTTTTCCATGAGAAACACCCTGTACCAGAGCAAGGAGTTCTAGGATGGAAATTCTTTAGGGATGTGTAGGTTGTTAGGATTAAAGATTTTGGCACTTTTGATCATAGAAACTGGACTTGACACCCTGACTGTTCTGGAAATCTCTGGCTTTGCAGGAAATCAGCTTTATACTGTAGCTGAAAATCAATGAGTCTTTCTATAATTAGTCATTGTTTCTACTTTATTAACAATGTATTTAAAATTAAAAATAACAGACTAATATTTTTAAAGCAGTATTACTTCTAGTTCTCTAAAAGTTAAAACATTGCATAAATAATTTCTGGGAAAAAAAAATAAATATGTAATTCACTCTCTGAAATGATACCTTTTCTCTCTAGGTTCTGGTCCCACATAAAATAACTGAAAAATCTATCAACATTGCAAATTTCCACAGCTTATATTATTTCAGCATAAATTCTACAGGATGTATACAGTATGTGACAATTCACTTTCTAGCAATATTCTTTAATGTAAAAACACAAGCATTAGTCTGAGTGTTGAGAAGCTAGGTAAAGTTGCTGCCAAACTAAAGACTTATTAAAGCTGCACATCCTAAAGACTTTTCTAGAGGAATTCCTGACTTAGCAGAGGCTCACTTTTAATGCAGAACCATCACCTTACTCACAGAGCTTGGTTTGCACAGTTTTAGTGCAATAAGAGTGTGTGGCCAGATAATCCAAACTCTACAGAACAGAAAATGTAAATGGACGTATCTAGGCTGATAGTAAAGTTAAACTTGTTCTAGGAAATAAGGAATAATCAGTATTTTCTATGTTAAACTATATGTAATGTCAGCTGTTTACAGACAAACATCAGTGAGGTTATCTGCTTTGGGAGGAGCATCTTCTTCACAAATCTGCTCCACTTAGGAGAATTTGTTGAATTGTCTCTAAAGCAAATTATTGTTCCTAAATCAATATGGTTTTAGTTGCCAAATCTCAGTTTTGAATTTGTTGACCCCATAATCTTTTAATTAGAAGTATGAAATAGATTTGACACACTGTTGGGTGCACTAGTGTCATATTTTGATTTCTGTGTTTGAGAGGAAACACCTGGTGCAGGAGGACATCTGCTAGTGTGTTAATTTTCCAACAATTTGATTTCATTCACCATAACGTGAAATTCTGCTCCCCCTGACTTTCTACAGCTCCTTCAGAGAGTGCAAACTCTCCTGGTGTTCCCTAATTGCGACCTTGTCCTGCACCATTGTCCGGGAGAGGAATCTCAATTTTCTTTTCACATGAAGTGAGTGGAATGATTTCTAGCAAAGCGTGATTGTCACAACAGCTTCACTTTCCTCTGCCTCCCTGCTCGTTCAGGACACACAAACTCGCGTGGAGCCCCGGGGGTTCCTCCAGCTCGCTGCATCTCATTCCCTATCAGACCATAAATGCTATAATCTGATTTTTTGCCTACGTGAGCCTTTGACCCAGCTTAGCAGAAGGAATTGAACCCGCTGCAGTCAGAACATCGTGCTGTGGCCTCTGAGTGCCTTTTTGATGGTTTAGAAAACATCCCGAGCTGCCAGTCTGTGTCACCCGGAGCCACCTCTCCTAATAAGCATTTTCCAGCTCCTGCTGGTTGGGTTTGCCGCTCCTGGCTCTGGCCAGATGCGGCTTCTTGTTCTTCTGGGGCCGGGCCGGGTCCTTGCCGAAGTCCTTGAGCTCGGACTGGTTGTGGTAGCGGGTGTAGCGCTTGCACTTGCAGGACGTGACGGCTCGGAATTTGTAAGTCCGGGTCTCCTGCTCGGGACAGGCCAGCAGGATGCGCTGGGTGCGGGTGTGCGCGGGGATGCAGCGATAATCCAGCGAGCTCTGCCGCCACCACTTGCCGCGGCCGATGGAGTTGGGCAGGAGGTGCGAGGGCTCGCACTGGCCCGAGCACTGCAGCTCCTTGACCGGCTTGAGGCTGCGGCACGGCCCGTCCGTCACATAGCGGGTGGTGCGCTGCTCCCGGCAGCTGAGCCCGGCGGCGTCTGCGGACAGCAAACACGTTAATTCCTGCAATTCCTGCATTCCTGCAGTCCCTGCAATCCCGCAATTCCTGCAGTCCCTCCATTCCTGTAATCCCACAATTCCTGTAATCCCACAATTCCTGCAATCCCTCCATTCCTGCAATCCCTGCATTCCTGTAATCCCGCAATTCCTGCAATCCCTCCATTCCTGCAATCCCTGCATTCCTGTAATCCCGCAATTCCTGCAATCCCTCAATTCCTGCAATCCCTCAATTCCTGCAATCCCTGCATTCCTGTAATCCCACAATTCCTGTAATCCCACAATTCCTGCAATCCCTCCATTCCTGTCATTCCTCAATTCCTGCAATCCCTCCATTCCTGTCATTCCTCTATTCCTGTAATTCCTCAATTCCTGCCATTCCTCAATTCCTGTAATTCCTCAATTTCTGTCATTCATTCATTCCCGACCATTCCTTAACTCCTGTAATTCTTCAATTCCTGTCATTCATTCATTCCTGATTATTCCTCAATTCCTGTCATTCATTCATCCCATAATTCATTCATTCTTGATAATTCCTTAACTCTTGTAATTCCTTCATTCCCGTAATTCATTAATTCATTCCCGTAATTCCTTAATTCCTGTTCATCCCTCAGTTCCTGCTCATTCCTTAATTCCTGTAATTCCTTCATTCCTGTAATTCATTAATTCATTCCCATAATTCCTTAATTCCTGTTCATCCCTCAATTCCTGCTCATCCCTCAATTCCTGTAATGCCTTCATTCCTGCTAATTCTTTCATTCCTGCTAATTCCTTCATTCCTGCTCATTCCTCAATTTCTGCCTGCTTGCTCTGCCAGCTTTGAGCAGGCACCCACCAGAGCCCCCTGTGCTGGCCGTGGAAGGAGGAGTGGGTTGTGGGAATAAAGGTGTTTTAAGGGCTTATTTCAATTCTCATTATCCTCCTCTGGTTCTGTTAGTAGCAAAGTCACTTTGTTCCTCTAAGCCAAGCCTGTTTTGCCCTTGGTGTGTTTTCCTCCTGGTCCTTAACTCACAGACCTCCAGGGGGTACCTGCAGCAACCTCCAGCTCAGTTTATCTCATTCTCTTATCAGACCAGAAGTGCTATAATCTGACAGATGTTTTTGGTTAATTTTTCTCTGCCCAGCTGTGCAGGGGAGGGTGAATGAGTGGCTTTTGTGGGTGCCTGGTGTTGGGCCAGTGTCAAACCACAACAGTTCCTGCAGATCTCTGGGCTAGGCACAAGCTGAATGTCTTGAAAGCAGATTTTCAGGAGAAATATCTCAAAAGGCTCACTCATGCAGCTCCTGACTATTCAGCTACTCCAGCTGTAAGACCCTGGAATAACAATGCCCAAATTGGTGAATAAAATCCACCAGGTACCTTTCATGTCAGAGCTGTGCAGGGGGCAATGGAGCAGCTGGGAATTTTGGACAATATTTGGACAATATTCTGGCTTCAGTTACCTGTGGGCAACACCTGCCCCCACTGCTCTAGTTTAACTCTATTGACTCCAGATATTGACTCCAGATTTAAATTCTTTTAATAAAAAGTGTTCCTTAAGTAATTTTTAGCTTGCATAATGTGTTCCAGGTTAGAGAAATCACAGGTGACAACAGCACTAAGGAATTCCCATTATTCAGGCCCCAGCTTTCCCAAGTTTCCTACTCTCTGTGGTAATTCTACACATCCCACACAGTTCCCCTCAGGGAACTGGAGGCACCTTCTGGCTCTTAGGAACCTCACAGATTTTTTCCTTTCCTTTTTCTCAATGGATAACTCTAATCAAATGAAGCATTAGAAAACACAAGATTTCTTAGCATTAAGTATTTAGGAACTTTCCAGTTGTAGGAACATAACTCCTCCCAAGAGTGTTTCTTTTCCCAAATGTCATCCTTGATTAATTGACTTGTTGGGAAGACAGAAAATTTGATTTTTAAGTGTTTATCAAATAACTTCATCTAGACAAACAGACTAATGTTCTTCTCTTGGTCAAAAGGACAATTTTAACTCAGGAACAGCACTTGTGGTGGAGACTTTCAAAGGCCAGCTCACAGGGAAGGCTGTGTCTGTTGGGCCCATTCTCCTCACTGGGTACCAGGTTTAGTTCAGCAAAAGAGAATTCTGACCCTGAATCTCCTGTTAGTGACACAGTAGTATTTGTAAAGAATTTTAATTATTAGTTTTCCTGTGAAGTACAGAAACAGGACTTTTAGTGGTCAGATTTACATTTGTCAAAGTATATTTATATTTGTCAAAGTACAGCTAGCAAGATTTCATTTTTGAAAAGTTTGAAGGATTGCATTAATGAAATTAAGCAATCCTTGTCAGCTGTAACAAAAATATTGGCAAACTGAACTCCATGTGCACTTTAGTCTAATGCTGCCAAGTTCCCTGAGCATCTGAGAAAATTATGTCTGTCTGTAAATAAAATAATGTGTTGAATAAGGTGTGTTGTACCTCCATAATGCACAGGCAGTTAAATATCCAGGCATTTGTCTCAGCTCTATAGGTGATTATTGTTATTGTTGTTATTATTATTATTATTATTATTATTATTATTATTATTATTCTGTGCATTTATGTCCTGTCCTGTTAGTGTGCAGGTGCAGAATCACTCATGGTCTGGTGCATATGGTCCAGAAAGCTCTGGCCACTTTGGATCATAATTTTGATTCCTTATGTTAAAGATGCCAAAATAAGTATGCAAGACCATTGTGTATCTGAAACAACTGCCCAGTCTCCTCCAGTCTTTGATTTCTTAATTAAAAGTGCTTTCTGCTTTGAAAAATATACAGTGGGGCAGATTCCCAGTTGATTCAGAGCAGTAAGAGGCTAAAAAATGAAGATATTGAGATGTGACAAGAAAACCAACCTGCTCTGACCTGGTGGCTGGTGGGGCTGCAGGGAGGAACAGAGTGCTCTCCCTCTTAGGAGTTAAAAACCTTTTAAGGTCAAACTCTCAAAAGCATTGGGTTTTTTTCCTTCTTTCTTTTAAAATATTGTTAATCTTATGGTTTTAAATGCCTTAATTCACAATTTCCTTCCAGCTGTCCCCAGAAAAGGAGGCTGGCTGAGATCTGCAGTGCACAATCTAAGTTTGATCTGTGGCTGTGTTGCTCTGTGCTTTATGCTGTGTGTCTGGAGGACCAAACTTGCCCTATTTTCCAGTGGAAAACTTTTTCAAAGCTAGTTTTCTCTGGTGTTAGCTTTCCATCCTCTGTCTCTCCTCATAAGGCTGGTGTCTTGCATCACTGCTCAAGTTGGACATTTGGCCAAGTGCAGTGTCAATGCATCTTGAAGCATTTTTGGCTGCTGGAACCTGACTGAAGATCTGGATGTTAGCAAAGGACAGCCCAGTTCTGTCATTTAGCTGAACACAACCTCAGTGTGCCACTTCTGATCTTACAACTGCTGTGGATGTTCCTAAATATTACAAATTTATATTATTGTGTCCCCTGTCAACCCATTCCCTCATCCTAACACTAAAGAGGGACAGATAACTTGTGACATTTCCTCACCAAACACACAGAAGTGTTAATTAATATCTACCACAGGTTTTATGTATTGGAGTTGTCTGCAGAGAGCAGCTGGGCAGAGTAGCAATGTCCAACAGAGAGACAATGTTTGCATCAGTAAACTCTAATATATTCTTTTAAATGTTTATATTCATACTTCTTCAACAGTAGATTGAAGAAAATCACTTAAAGCAGTTGGGCCACAGCTAAAAGTATTAATAAACAAATATATATGATAACAAGTATTCTTTTACAAATTGTCTGCTATCATCCAAACCAGTAATAATGATATTTTTCTTACCGTTAAGGTCTGGAGCTTGCTGTATGTGTCTTCCTCCATGTTTTGCCTGGTTCATTGTGTTGTTGTTGCTGTAAGTCGGCTCCATGGGTGTTTCTGTATTTTCAGCGATCTCAGGAATGATTTCTGTAGCATCATTTTTAAACATCTGCCAGCCTTGCAGAGGCTGAAATGTGATTTGTGTCACGACACAGAGAGCACACACAGCCCAGGGGATCTGCATGGTGGCAGCTCACAGATCAGCCTTTCAGCACCCTGACAGTCCCAGATCCCAGGCAAAGGCACATTATTCCCCTTTTTAAAATCCCTTTTAGAACCAAGCCAGCCAATGACTATACAAAGTGGGAAGGGCCACACAACTCATTCATCTCAGCTTTTGTCAGTGTGAAATAAAATGGGTGTGTGGGGGTGGGTTAGTGACAATATTTTACAACTTTTATGCAAAAACTTCTCATATCCACCTAATTTTTGAGCCTGGCAACAAATGGTGATAGACAAGACTACAATGAATTGCAGCCTGACAAGCCTTTCTGCAGTTTTTTTTTTTCCTAACAATGGTGTTAAAATTAAATAATTAAAACCGGCTTCTGCCTCCATCCATATTTGAAACTTTGGCTATTGTCTTTTCCAAAGGTTTTTCAGACTTTTTACATTTTTGCTGTAATTATTCCTCTTCCCTTTGCTCACAGTATAAGGTGAATAAATCTAGAAACTGTGGCTCAGTAGTTGTGCTTTTCAGTCTCTGCAGGGAAATGATTAGGGTTGAGGGAGCTTTTTTCTCTCCTTTCCAAAACAAGGAGCTCTACATTTTGTTTCACAAATATACTGGAAGAAACAGGGAAGAGCTTCATTTCAATATGAGAAGTTGTGTTTACTTTTCCTTAAAAACAGTTTACTTGGAATATGTTTTTAGGTTAAGCAGCCAGAATGTTGTACATCATAATTTTTGATGTGCTCTTTCTCACATTTTTTTAACTCTTGGAGAAAACTGCCTGACACATGTTTGCATTTGCTGCAAATTCATTGCATACTGCTACTTCTGCTGACATTCTGTGAAGTGTTGAACGCAGGACATTTCCTTATTTTATACACAAGAACTTGGCCAGACTGATTTCCACCAAAAAAAAGGAAAAATTACTTTAGGTCTAAAGCATTTATGCCTAGAGATGTATTTATGTATCATGTTTCAAAATCTCATCTGTGGTATTCTCCCTTGCAAAAACAAGATGATAGTAGTGAAAATATCATGATTTCTGTGTCTCAAGACCACCTACACTTTCAAGTTATTTGCAAATAAATCCATTAATCAGAAAGCATCTCAGCCTTTAGGAAGGTTAAGATACCAAACTGAGTTTGTTACAGCTACTGAAAACCAAATGTTTGCTCAAAGCAGAACAGGGAGTGTGTGTGTGTGTGTGTGTGTGTGTGTGTTACTGCCACACTTGTCACAGACTTTGTCATGAAAATATTTCCTGTAGAAGAGATTCAAACCCGATTCCCTCTGACTTTCCCCTGTGGCTGTAAGGCTCAGAGTGGTTTGCATTCCATCCCCCGACAGGCTACAGAACAGAGCTGCCACCAAACTGAAGGGGCAGCTGTGCTGGCCTCGGTGTGCCCTGGGTGATGAACAGCAGCAATGACCTGGGGACATTTCACCCTGCACACACACACAGAGACAGACAGAGAGACACAGACAGAGAGACACACAGACACACACACACACAGAGACAGACAGAGAGACACAGACAGAGAGACACACAGACACACACACACACAGAGACAGACAGAGAGACACAGAGACACACACACAGACACACACACAGACACAGAGACACACACAGACACACACACACACACACACACACACAGACACAGAGACACACAGACACACA